AAGGAAGTGAATATTTAAAATACATCAAGTATGTGCTCAAAAATATGTATAAAAATCAACCAGGGTCAGGCACAGTGGCTCATGCCTATAACCCCAGCACTTTGGGATGCCAAGGCAGGAAGATTGAGGTTGGGAGTTTGAGACCAGCCTGACCAACATGGAGAAACCCTGTCTCTACTAAAAGTACAAAATTAGCCAGGCGTGGTGGTGCATGCCTATAATCCCAGCTACTTGAGAGGCTGAGGCAGGAGAATTGCTTGAACCCCAGAGGCAGAGGTTGCAGTGAGCTGAGATTGTGCCGTGACATTCCAGCCTGGGCAACAAGAGTGAAACACTGTCTCAAAAAAAAAATAAAAATAAAAATAAAAATTCAACCAAAAGTGTAGGGCTAGGTGTATATAAAAAAAGATTAAAAAATTGTACATACCAAAGCATAGATAGTGTAAGAAGCTGAAACAATTTGTAAGATAGAGAGATGTTAAGAGCATTTGGAAGAAATGTGAAAAAAATTAAAAACAAAAGAGAAAAGCTTGAAATTTATTTTTTGGATAAAAGTAAGACTGATCTGTTGTGGGAAGTCAGGGACCCCAAATGGAGGGACCGACTGAAGCCATGGCAGAAGAACATAAATTGTGAAGATTTCATGGACACGTATTAGTTCCCCAAATTAATACTTTTATGATATCTTACACCTCTCTTTACTGAAATCTCTGAACATAAATTGTGAAGATTTCATGGATGCTTATTACTTCCACAATCGATACCCTTGCTATTTCCTATGCCTGTCTTTAATCTCTTCTTCTTTACTTTAATCTCTTCTTTACTTCCCATCATCTTCGTAAACTGAGGAGGATCTATGTTGCCTCAGGACCCTGTGATGATTGCATTAACTGCAAAATTGTTGGTAGAGCATGTGTGCTTGAACAATATGAAATCTGGCGCCTTGAAAAAAGGAACAGGATAACAGCAATGTTCAGGGAACAAGGGAGATGGCCTTGGACTCTGACTGCCAGTGAGCCGGGTGGAACAGAGCCATATTTCTCTTCTTTCAAAAGCAAATAGCAGAAATATCACTGAATTCTTTTTCTCAGCAAGGAACATCCCTGAGAAAGAGAATGCACCCCTGAGGGTAGGTCTATGAATGGCCCCTGCGGGGGGGTGGCCGTCTTTTACGGTCAAAGCCAAAGGGATGATATAAGCCCCGGTCTCCTGTAGCACTCCCAGGCTTATTAGGACATGGAAATTCCTGCCTAATAAATTTTGGTCAGACAGGTTGTCTGCTCTCAAACCCTGTCTCCTGGTAAGATGTTATCAATGGCAATGCATGCCCGAAACTTCATTAGCAATTTTAATTTCGCCCTGTCCTGTGGTCCTTTGTCGCTCTGCCTCCATTTGCTTTGTGACACTTTATTACCTTGTGAAGCATGTGATCTCTGTGACCCACACCCTATCCGTACACTCCCTCCCCTTTTGAAAATCACTAATAAAAACTTGCTGGTTTTACGACTCAGGGAGCATCACAGAACCTGTGGACATGTGATGTCTCCCCCAGACACCCAGCTTTAAAATTTCTCTCTTTTGTACTCTTTCCCTTTATTTCTCAGACCAGCCAATGCTTAGGGAAATAGAAAAGAACCCACATTAAATATCGGAGATGGGGTTTCCCCTGATACTGATCAAGTTATTGCACACATGCCAATATACTGTCTTTCGTCTATGGCTTGTAATTAAGGATATCGAGTGCTGATTCGGAAATAATAAAGCCAAAAAAGCAGTTTATTTTTATACTAGTGAAGAAGAAATGAATCAGGAAATTTCTTTAAAAAATACCTATGCATTAGGATTTCTGAAATAACTTGTCTTAAATATTCTTCATAGTGAACTAGAATGTGCACTACATATCAAAACATATAAAACCATGATTTTTTAAACTAAATATGAGAATATGAAAGAGTGCAGAGCACTTAAATATACAGGGAGTGGCCAACATAGTTTATCACATGGCATAAGTCCGGCTTGTATGCTTTAGAATAAGTTCGAGTTCAGTTAAATGTCAAGATAGGAGTCCCCATATCTTCCATTGCAAAATCCTAGAATAAAGAAAAATAAACTCTTCCCTGCTAGCACTCTGAGACTGTAGTTTCAGTTGGCTTACTGAAAAGGAAAAGTTTCTTAGAACTGTTATGTTTTATTTTAAAAGTCATACAAAGTTTGCGTTCTGTTCTATAGATTGTGTCAATATAAAAACGCTATGGTCCATCACTTTCAGCCTAGTTAAATAGATAATACTGAAATATGTCACAAGTTGATCTTATAATTTCAAAGAGCACTTACACAGAGCTGCATACTCTTGTGGTTAAATGTACCTGCCTTTGGTGAAGCACAGATGAAATCAAAAGCATAATACTTTAAACAATGGGAACCTGTAAGGCATTCTTTGGCTCTCTGTTTCCTGCAGGTGGAGCACTGGCAAAATCAAGAGGTGACATCAGACTCCTCTTCCAGCATTGCTAAGAGTCAAATACTGACCTCACCAAAATCAATCTTATTCTTGGTAGTATCAGGCTTAACACTTTCTTTTTATCCATTTCAAACCCTCTCAAGGTTTTTGTTGTTGTTGTTGTTTGTTTGTTTTCATATTTTTTTCTTTTTTTTCTTACTACATGACCACTTGTCCTATTAAATATGCAGCCTTAGTAACTAAGTTGGAATATTATCACAGATTATATTTTGGCCATATTTTTCTTCTGTAACATTTATTATAATGCTTTCCTCATACTGTAAATTCAGTAACCCTAATAAAAATTTCAGAATTTATTTTACATCTTTCCATTTTTTTCCCATTATTACATGAGAAGATCTTTCCTTAAAAGATGGTGACCACACTAAAAATAGTCTTTGAGAAGAATGGGAATAACTGCCTTCTTTTGACTCCAGTGATTTTCTGCACTGTTTCTAAACTTGTCATTATTTCTATTTGAATACACTTTAAGAGATTGAGATTAGAAGTGTGGGGGTGGGGGCCAGGTACAGTGGCTCATGCCTGTAATCCCAGCACTTTGAGAGGCTGAGGCGGGCAGATCACAAGGCCTGGAGATCGAGACCATCCTGGCTAACATGGTGAAACCCCATCTCTACTAAAAATACAAAAAATTAGCTAGGCATGGTGGCGGGTCACTGTAGTCCCAGCTACTGAGGAGGCTGAGGCAGGAGAATGGTGTGAATCCAGGAGGGAGAGCTTGCAGTGAGCCGAGATCATGCCACTGCACTCCAGCCTGGGCAACTCCGAAGTGTGGGGGCAGGGAGGAACTGGATAGATAGAAATTATTCTCTTAGCATATTTATTATGCCAACAATGCAATTTAATGCATCTTTGATTATGTGCAATTAGGTATTAAAATTTCTCGTAACTAGAAATGTTCTTGGTCAGTGAGAATTACTGTAGATACTTTCAGGTAACCTGGGGATAATTTGGCTGGTTGAAAGGCCTGCGTCAATATATAAAGCACTCAATTTAGGAAAAAAATGATTAGTTCTTCACATTAGTCCTCTGTTTAACTATATTGGGAAATGCAACTTCATATAAAACATGAGGAGAAAAACAGTAATTACTTCATAATTTTAAATAAATTTCTAAAGATACAAAATGGCAACTAGAAAATAGTTTTTCAAACCATAATGTACTGATATTTTTCTAAAGGGTCAATTATCTTTGCACAAAATTAAGGAGTTTTATTTGCTTTAAATTACTGGTTTAATTTAGATTTCTAACTCTTATTTTAATTAGTTGCCCTGGTTTTTTTTCCTTTTCTCTCTCTCACACCAGGGTTTCCAAAGGAAACTTGTTGGGTTGTTGTGGGTGGAAGGATAGCTGTATTAGTATAGTTAGATAGATTTATCAGATACATGTGCCAATACTACATTCCAAATTTTTATCACTTTCCATGTTCTCGGTATCCTTTTGTGTTGTTTATGCTAACAGGTAAACGATAACACAGTAAAATGAAAAGTACAGTAAGTGATGTTAGAGGTAGATGGGGGTGGGTAGAGAAAAGATGGATTTTGGGTAAGTATATTTAGTACTATAATTTAAACTATAATATACAGTTACAATTCAATACAAACTGAACTCCCTGTCAATAGACAAGCTACAAGCAGTTCATAAAGTGACTGGAAATTGAACCAACAATTATTACTTATTTTTATTTTTTATTTTTTTTGAGATGGAGTCTCGCTCTGTCGCCCAGGCTGGAGTGCAGTGGCCGGATCTCAGCTCACTGCAAGCTCCGCCTCCCGGGTTTATACCATTCTCCTGCCTCAGCCTCCCGAGTAGCTGGGACTACAGGTGCCCGCTACCTTGCCCGACTAGTTTTTTTTTTTTTTTTTGTATTTTTTTTTTTTTTCTTGTATTTTTTAGTAGAGACGGGCTTTCACCGGGTTAGCCAGGATGGTCTCCATCTCCTGACCTCGTGATCCGCCCGTCTCGGCCTCCCAAAGCGCTGGGATTACAGGCTTAAACCACCGCGCCCGGCCTCATTACTAATTACTTTTGGATTATGGATGCATTCATTTGGGGTATTCTTTATGAAAATGCAACAACCGTGGCACTAAATCTGTCTGGGGTGAGAATTAAGTTCATAGAAGACATGCACATGTAGACAGTTCTGTAGCTCTAATAACGAGCAAAACTATTTGCTTTGTAATTTACATGATCAAAAGTTTAAAGTATGGATATTGTCTTAAAATATTTCATTTTAATGAGTTAACACAATCAATAAAAATTTGTATTTAATATTTTTCAGAATTATTTTGAAATTTTAATGGTTACTCCAATTTAGGTCAAGTATATTTAAGATGATGCAATATGAGTTTTATCAAAATTATTGGGATAAAATATTTGGTTACATATCTCACAGTGATACACATTTAAAAAAACAATCAAAGGACAAAACAAACAAACCAAAAAAACCCACCCTGATTGCTGATGTGCTGATACTCACTTAGCATGACGAATATCTGGCAGAGACCTCTCTAGCGCAATATTGTTGCTGACGAAAATATTAAAACCATTTTCCCTGTAAGCTGAGTCATCATGGTCCTCTTCAGTAAGGGGGTAAGGTTTCCCATGTTCACCTTTCCCTAGCAGGAGAAAACAAAATGAGATTATCATTTCTCTAAAAGCCATTTTATCTTCTAGAACAGATATGAAGACTGGAATGTGTATCATTACCTATTGCTGTGCTCTGCAGAAGGAGCTAGTACTAAGATTTTATTGTATTATTTTATTTTAATTGCCTTTAAGTAAATGAAATATACTCAATATAAAAAGCAAACAACACAGAAGTAGAAAGAGTAATTTCACACTGCAGAACAACTGCAAAAATTTTTAGTGTATGTTTATTAATATTTGTATGCAGATTCTAATACATAAACTGATTTGTAATTTGACTTTTTCCAGAATAATTGTATACTTTTCATTTACTTCCAATACTTGATGTTATTTGATTGTATTCCAATTTACACCATTCCACTGAAAACATACTATTATTTCTAATTTTCCCATTACAATGAAAATCTTTGCTTTTCACAGTTATGCATTTTTGAAAGGGAAGCATAAATTCCTAGAAATGGAATTACTGAGATATCTTTAAAGTACTTATAAGAGTTTTGACACATCCTGAGACACATTGTAAATTTCCAACTTCATCAGTAAAATATATATTCCTCATATTTTAATTTGACATTTCTTGATTACTATGAATTAATAATTCCTTATATTTTTATCATTGGTATTTCCTGCACTGTGAAATGACTGTTCAAGCATTTTTAAAAACAACTTTTATTTTTTTACATACTATTTTATATTTTTGTTAATTATATATGCTGCAAATATTTTATTTTATTAAATCTAATTAATTTTTTAATCCAGATTTTTTTTCTTTTATAATTTCTCATTTTATATTTTACATATTTACAAAGAAGATCTTCCCTAGTCCAATATCATTTTTAGTATCCATTTAAAAACTCAGAGTTGTATTTTAGCTATTAAAATTTTTGAAACATCCAGAATATGTTTTGGTGTGAGAAGTGAGATAAATATAATTTTTATTTTTTTCAAAACAAAAGTTCAGGCAGTTATAGAAATACCATTTATTGAGGTTGGTCACAGTGGCTCAAGTCTGTAATTCCAGCACTTTGGGAGGCCAAGGCACGCTGATCACCCGAGGCCGAGTTTGAGACCTGCCTGGCCAACCTGGTGAAATGCTGTCTCTACTAAAAATACAAGAATTAGCCAGGCGTGGTGGCACACACTTGTAATCCCAGCTACAGGGGAGGCGGAGGAATGAAAATCGCTTGAACCCAGAAGGCAGAGGTTGCAGTAAGCCAAGACTGGGCCACTGCACTCCAGCATGCGTGACAGAATGAGACTCTGTCATTAAAAAAAAAGAAAAAAAGTATTGAGTAAGTTGCTTTTTTCTTCCCTGCTTTGAAACACTACATACAAAATTTTGTACACTTGCTCGTGCATATTTAAAAGTTACCATGGCATTTCACTGTTATGCCAATGCTTGCACTGGAAACATCATAGTAGTAACCTCTTTTAATGTATGCAAAGCCATTTCTTGCTGTATTCTTTTTCCAACTAATAACATGTTTACTTTTCTGTGTGAACTATTTAATAAAATGGCCTTTCTGGATTTTGTTTTTTAGATTACATTAGATTTTCTGGTTCATTCTTATATAATTGATATTTTTATATGTATCAGCTGTTTTTCAAGTGTTCTGCCCTTGGACCTCAGTGGCATTTTATACAATTTTCATTCTTTTAGTCCTATGCAATTTTTGGTAAATTTTTGTAGATGTATTTTATCTTCATTGCATTATGTGTAGTATCCTTTCTTTCATTACATTTTTCTAAATGGCACACACTAAAATTATATATTTTTATACTTCTTATTCAGACACCATACTTAACTATTTTTTAAATAATTTTTAAAAACTAGTGTTTTACAGATACACAATGTTTATTTCAAATAATAATATTTTGCCTCCTCTTTCTTCATAACTCACAATTTCTTATCTAATTATATAGTTAACAATAAATAATTTTTAACAGACATTTACTCTGGTCTTGACTTTAATACAATTGTTAAGTATTACAGATTTAAGCTGAGTAATTAATATGTATTTGTATGTGTATGTGTTTGAGTGTCTAATAATATGTATTTATAACTCATCATTTAAGAAAGAATATTTCTAGTACCCTTTAAAACAAGGTGTTTATTCATTAATAGGATATGGAAGTTTAAAAAACACTTTTTAAAAATCTTTAGAGATTTTTATATTTTTCACTGTAGTAACTTTGATTTACAAACATGTTATTCATTTTGTATTACTAGAATTCAAGATTTTGTTAGGAAATTTGGTTTCCATATCAGTGATTCCTCAGAAAAAAGGCATCTTTCTTTTCTTAGTCTCTTACTACTACTGCCCTTAAATTCAATAGCTCTGACCGCCAAGATCAAATGGCTGGGGATTGATAAGAAATTATATTCTCACAAAGCAGACTGAAAACCTCTCCAATCAAAGGAAAAGAAACAATATGTTTAAATGACATTTGGCCTCAAAAAACCAAAACCAAAAACAAAAAAACAAAACTACTTCTTCTTTGCTTCCCTGTTTGATTTCTTAGGAGAAAATGTCACTTACTACTTTTCAACCTAAATGGAAAATAAATCAGTGAGAAATTTCATGTCTATAACAGCTAGTTATTGAGCATCCATAATGTACAAAGTATTGTGTTAAATTACTTCATATAAATTTTTTAACCCGACACAGTTACATCTTGGAATAAACATTGTGCTACCTAAGTTACATGTAAATAAATCAAAGAGAGACTCATGTTCACCAGCACTTCCATAGTTACAAATTAGCCATATAACGTGGGGAAATGTTTAAAAGACATAAATCTTTCTCCCATTAATGACAAAATTAGCTGTAAGGTCTCTTGGACTTATATAGTCTGTGGTTTTAACTAGATCTATGTAATTCCATAAATCCTATTTAAAAAGAAAATTTTATGCCAGGTGCAAGTCAATAAATGTGATACACCATATACACAGAATTAAAAACAAAAATCATATGATTATCTCAATAGATGCAGAAAAAGCATCTGACAAAATCCTGTGTCCCTTTATGATGAAAACTCTCAGTAAAATTGGCATAGAGGGGACACTCCTCAAAGTAATACAAGTCATTTATGACAAACCCACAGGCAACATTATATTGAATGGGGCGTGGGGGGGTGCGGAGTTCAAAGCATTCCCCTGAGAACTGCAACAAAACAAGGATGCCCACTTTCACCACTTCTTTTCAACATAGTACTGGAAATCCTAGCCAGGGCAATCAGACAAGAGAAAGAAATAAGGGGCATCCAAATTGGTAAAGAGAAAGTCAGACTGTCATGGTTCACCAATGATATAATCATGTACCATGAAAACCCTAAAGACTCATCCAAAAAGCTCCTAGTTTACTAGTTTACTGAATTCATTCATCAGTAAAAATTCATTTACTGATTTTCCCATTACAATGAACATCTTTACTTTTTACAGTTATGCATTTTTGAAAAGGAAGCATAAATTCCTAGAAATGGAATTACTGAGATATCTCTAAAGTACATATAATGGTTTTGACACATCCTGAGACACATTGTACATTTCCAACTTCATCAGTAAAATATATATTTTTCATATTTTAATTTGACATTTCTTGATTACTATGAATTCTTATATTTTTATCATTTGTATTTCTTTCACTGTGAAATGATTATTCAAGCATTTTTAAAAACAATTTTTGTTTTTTACATACTATTTTATATTTGTGTTAATTACATATGTTGCAAATATTTTATTTTATTAAATCCAATTAATTTTATCAGTAAAAATTCATTTACTGATAAATGAATTCAGTAAACTTTCAGTATACAAAATCAATGACTACAAATCAGTAACACTGCTGTGTACCAACAGTGACTAAGCTGAGAATCAAATCAACAACTTAACCACTGTTACAAGAGCCGATAAAAACAAAACAAAAAACAAAAACAAAAAAAACTTGGGAATATACCTAACCAAGAAGTGAAATATTTCTACAAGGAAAACTACAAAACACTGCTGAAAGAAGTGACTGATGACAAAAACAAATGAAAACACATCCCATGTTCATGGATGGGTAGAATCAATATTGTGAAAATGTCTATACTACCAAAAGCAATCTATACATTTAATGCAATTCCAATCAAAACGCTATCATAATTCTTCACGGAACTAGAAAAAGTAATCCTAAAATTCATATGGAACTAAAAAAGATCCCATATAACCAAAGCAAGAATAAGGAAAAAGGAACAAATCTGGAGGCATCATATTACCAGACTTCAAATTATACTACAAGGCTATAGTTATCAAAACAGCACAATATTGGTATACAAACAGGCAAGTACGCCACTAGAACAGAATAGAGAGCCCAGAAATAAAAGCACATACTTATATCAAACTGATTTTTGACAAAGTGAACAAAAACACAAAGTAGAGAAAGGACATCCTATTCAACAAATCGTGCTGGAATAATTGGCAAGCTACATACAGAAGAACAAAACTGGATCCTCATCACTCAATTTATACAAAAATCAATTCAAGATGGATCAAAAACTTAAATCTTAGACCTAAAATCATAAAAATTCTAGAAGATAAAATCAGAAAAAGCCTTCTAGACATTGGCTTAGGCAAAGACTTCATGACCAAGAACCCCAAAGCAAATGCAAGAAAAACAAAGATAAATAGATGGGACTTAATTAAACTCAAAAGTGTCTGTGCAGGAAAAGATATAATCAGCAGCATAAACAGACAACCAACAGAGTGGGAAAGCATCTTCATAAACTATGCATCTAACAAAGGACTAACATTCAGAATCTACAAGGAACTCAAATCAGCAAGAAAAAAAAATTCCATCAAAAAGTAGGCTAAGGACATGAATAGACAATTCTCCAAAGAAGATATACAAATGACCAACAAACATATGAAAAAGTGCTCAGCATCACTAATTATGAAGGAAATCCAAATTAAAACCATAATGTGATACCA